TTTTTTTTTTATAAAATGAAATTTCAGTGTCCTTTAAAAAATATCTTACTTCAGACAGAAAAATTGAAAATGCTCCTAGTTTCGTGAACATATAAATTTTTTCGAGTGTTTTGAATTTTTGTCGTGCGGTGTTACAGTAGCAATTTTTAGAGAATACTTAATTATTACTCAATCATCTCCCGTTAAGCTGAAGTAAGATTGCGATAATATGTATTTTTCAAGTGAGGAAACGTTGTCACGACAAACAGCTATGCAAGCGTATTTCAGGCGGCAAGCGTTTGAAATTAAGGAGGCCGTAAGCTATATGGTACACAAAGCACCAGGACTCAGCTGGCCAGGCGACAACTAAGTCCAACGTAGGTGTACATTTCCAATACATTTTATAAATCTAATTCTTGAAAATTTTAGTGAATGAGCAATCAGCATATCAAAAACTTAAAGTATACTCAAAAACATATTTAGATCATTTCGCGTTTGTTTTTCATTACACAACTTCGTAGAGAACTTATTTCATCTCGTTGAGGGCATTAAATAAAAAGCGCAGTCAAAGATTTTGGTTACTTACTTATTCTCGACGCAGAAGAGACAAAACTGCTACACCAGGAAGTTTATGAACTTCAGAATTCTGTGGTTGCCCATAAGGGGATCACACATACATACATACGTACATATGCAGACTATTACCAAACATATGTATGCGTTTCCTTTGGTGGAGGTGTATGCTTACAAGGCTAAAGTCAATAAATGTTGGCAATTTAAACTTTCGCATGCCACACATACTCCGCTTTTCTGCCGCTGAGTAAAGTTGGTATGCTTGTGTTTCATAACTTTTATGCATAAATTCGTAGCGTGTCCCGCATTTCCACACTCTCTCCATCCATATAGTTACACTTGCCCATATTCACATTTGTTTAGGTACATAGTTTCTCATATACATATTTATATATATGTGAATATGTATATACATGTGTACATAAGTGTAACTAAACTTCACAAAATGTATGTAAATTACGAAAATTTTGTGCCGAAATTGTTTTCAATTCAATTCACATGAGCACATCAGTGCTGTGGTGACTAGCACTCACCCACTCACCCACTCACACTTTCAAGCGAACATTTAGTTAGGTGGTGGGCAAAGTTTAGAATGTACATATGTACACAGCGGGTTGACGCGTATCATCAACGCGATAATAAAATGTGTTGCCAAAGAGCAATCAATGTGCCGCAAACATCGTTAGGTACCCATTTGAGTCACACTTGAATGACTTTGTAAATGTTGCGGATACTTAAGGTAACGTCCTTTTGAAATTTTGAAACGTTATTTGCGAGCAATTCTATTTAAAACGCATACGAATGGCTAACTGCATTGAGAATGCGTTTGAGTTGCTGTAGACAGTCTTAGAGAAATTTATATTCATTATATGATTACATTTTCGTACGAAACAGTATTGCAAATGATGAAGCAGCGATTGCAAGTTGGTTTGGGTATGTTTGTAGGTATGTGTTTGATGTGGTAATTCTCTGATTTTGGTAGAGTGAAAGCTCGTCTTTGTAAAGCGCGAAAACTTATTAGTTTACAGGAAAAATCGCATCGATGACGAGGTTGAGAATCTGATCGATAAATTTATCGATATAAATGTAGATAACGATATCTAAGAAACTGTCGAAAGTGTCAATATTTGTATCACAAATAAATGGGTAACGATATATGTATATCGATAAACACATCTACTTTGAAAATATATCGATGACAGGGTTGAGAATAATCGATAAAACTACCGTTGTAAATTTTAATAAATATATCTACAAAAATGTCGACAATGTAGATTGTCTACAATTTTATTGGTATTAATATCGATAAACTTGTATGTATATCGATGACAGCAAGTCTACGTGAACAACCGCATGGATAATAAATGGAAAACTGCGTTGAGGGATAATCGGTAAGTCCACGGATGTAAATTAGAATAAGGATATTGAAAAACGATGTTCGTGTCGAAAATATATCGATAACGATATATAAAACGATATATACAACGCCAATAATATTGACATACACACGTTATAGGTTAATTACCAATTATTAAATAGGAATTATTGTATACAAGCTTATTGCTACAGATATCGATAGAGTTGTATATCGAAAAATGCACCAAAAACGACTGCAATGATGCATCAATAATGGGTGTGATATATAAATGCATATGTTGGTAAATATATTGATAATAATTAGATAATTTTCGATTATATTTATCGATAAATATATGATAAATGAATTAAGACTTAGTCTGACGTTATACTGATAATGAGATTGATATGTAAATAAATATTTCCACAGTAGTCGAAAATAATGAGTCTTTTGTCGAATATATCGATAAATATGTCGATAAATTAATTTTTGATAATGGGATTGATTGATACACATGTCGACAATATTCGACAATAATGAACAATTTCGCGAATCGATAAATACGACGAGAAATGAATTATTGGCAATGCGTTGCTCAATAGTAAATAGCCAGTAATGCTATTATCGAGAATTAAATGGATAAACACATATACATATTAACATATCCAGCATAGCTAATTATGTGATTAAGGAAATTACTTATTACATAAATTTTTGAATGTATCGATTAGAAAACGATTTTGATTTTTTTTTAGTAATTTTTAAGGAAAAACGATAATTTTTAAGGAAAGTGCCTTTGAATTGCCAAAGCCAAAAATAAAACGCAATTAATTGCTTTTCTTACAAATGTCGGCTGTGGCGTCAGGTGAAGACTACTGGTTCTGGTTCTGAAATCGCAGGTTCGCGGCCGCTTGGAGGTGGTTAAGATTTTTAAAGTTAAATAAATGTAAGTAAAAAGAATTTATTCAATTTATAAGTAAATAACAAATTTGAAAATCTAATTGCATTGCAAAAAAACATTTAGGAATAAATATAAAAACAAAGAAATTAAACAAAAATATTTTTTTTATTAAATTTAAAAATTACAATAAACAGCATAAACAAAAAAATAAATTTATAAAAAATAAAAATAAAATAAAAAATAGAAAATTAAAAAAGTTTCCCTGCGCCAGGATTTGAACCTGGGACCTCAGGCTAACCATGCGAGTGCTCTGCTCTGTCGGCCATTGTGACTGCTGGAGCGTCGCGAGCAAAAAGGCACTCTTATGCTTTTCACGGGGCATGAATTGGCAGTCTATCTCATCAACTGGTATAATGCTACTAGTATTTATACTAGTAGATGTTGATGCATAGCCTAGCAATTGACATCTCGTAGGACATCGCAACGTTAAAAATACCAGTCGCTAACATTGAAAAAGGATAGAACGTGAACTAGTTCGGCTGAAACGCAAACCGGTAGAATTCTAGTTCACAACTAGTAGCTTTCCCTGCAGGGACTCTTCAAATGAGCTAAACAGAAAATAATAATTACCAAATATATTTTTGCTTCAAATTTGTGTGAACTAAAAGTGTGAAGTGTGTGAACTAAAGGTGGGAGAGGTAGTATATACATATGTACGTATGTACATTAGGGTGGTCCAATAATGCATGTGAAAAAGTAAAGTACCGAAAAAAAAAATATATATTTTGAAATCAAAAAACCTTTAGAGGTACCTCAAAGCACTCAAAGTTTTCCATGTATTTTATATGGGGAAAAACCACTTTTCGTAGAAATTGTATAGAATTCTTGAAGATCAATATTTTTTGATCGCAAAAACTCTGTTTCTCTTCAATAGATTCGCAGTATTAATACCCAATTATTTATTTAACCATTTTTTCATAGTAACTATATTTCATAGGTTCGCCAAAATAGAAAATCTTTAGTATTAAGAAATGGTTAAATTAACAATTGGGTATTGTTATTGGAAGTCTCCTGAAGAGAGCCAGAGTTTTCCCATCAAAAAACATGGAAAATTTTGGGCGCTTTGAGCGACCGCTAAATATTTTCTGATTGCTAAATAAAAAAATTGGGGTATATTTTTTCCATATAGAACAATACTAGGGGGTGAGAGCATTAAGACTCCAACTTTACTTATTTTGGACCATCCTAATGCACATATATCTATGGGACATTCCAGCCAATTCGGACAGCATTGGGTTTTGAGCTTCCGATTTTTGCGTAATTTTTTATGTTATTGTACCAATTAGGAGAGACCTCCCGAATTCTTTTGAATATTTTTTGTTTTCTAGACATCGATTTTTGAAAAAATAGCTCCCTTTTGAATGCCCATAGCTTTGCGAAAAGGGCCAAATGAAACTATTTTTCGTTTAGAACTTTGAGCTTTCGAAGCACTTTGTGATATAAAATCAAAAAAATCTTCAAAACCGTATTTCCATACAATTTCGAATGAAAAAGTCAAGGAGAAATCTCTCCATTGGTACATAGAAAATTATGAAAAAAGTCGGAGGTCAAAAAGCCAAATAGTCTCCGAACTGGGTTAGAATGCCCCCTAGTATATAAAAAATCATTAAACACATTAATAAATTAGTACTACCTGCCAGTTGTGCGTCGTCGCGCGCCCGCTATCGTCATACGTGATATGTAACGGCGTATACGCCCACTCGAGCGCCGTTGACCCGACGCCGAGCGTACACTATACTCGGTGGCCGTTGAGCTGCGTCGATCGATTGGTATAACGTCGGAGCACATGGACGACGAAATAATCGATGCGGTCGAACGTCGCTTGCCGCCCATGAAAGTGCCCCCGCCACTCGATGAAGTCGTCGTAGCCGAAGAATCGGAGCGCGAGAAAAGTGATGAGCGTTTACTGCGCGTACCCGGCGGGCCCACAGCATCCTGTATATTACTATAGAACTCCTCTGTTTCACGATCATACGAATCCGGATCGCGATCATCATCGGCCGCCTCTTCGGCGTCTTCATAGTGCGCATCAGTGCCGGCGCCTTCGTCGTCAGTGCCCAGCGTATCGGTGGCAACTGTAGCGGCGCGTCGCGGTGGAAAACGGCGTCCGCCAGCAATGCTGCGTGTGACGATGGCGATGGAACTGTGCACTTGGCCATTCGTGCCACTAACACCACCGCCACCAATATCACCGTCATCCGCACCTTCCGCCGTTGCATCCACATGCGATTTGGCGCTATTGTACAACTCACTGCTGGCAGTTTCGTAATCGGTGGAGTTTCTCGTGCGCCCACTATGACCGCTGCTGAGCGAACGATAGTGTGACGCAGAGCTATGACTATCCGGTGAGGTGGGACGTGATGCGGCGTTTAGCGTTTGTTGATGTTGCAACAAATGTTGTTGGCGTTGTTGTTGCTGTTGTTGTTGTTGTTGCTGGTGATGATGGTGCTGCTGGTGTAGCTGATGATGCGGTTTGTGGTGCGACGAACTGCGCCGCGTAGTATGCGGTGTTTCATGTTCGTTATCATCGCTTTCGCCGCCACCGACACTACCACTAAACGTAACTTCGTGATATTTTATTGACTTGGAGGATTTGCGACGCGCCTGCTGAACGGAAGAGCGCCGCGGTGTCTCCTCCAAGTCATCAGCGACTGCTACCGTTTTTGCAGCATCGTAGGTTTGGTTGCTGATGATTGGGGTGTGTTCATGCTGTTCATTCGCCACTGCAGTACCGTTAGTGAGCGTTGTTAACGTCGATGATTTTGCACTGTATTCGTTTGGTGGAGGTGTTGTTGTTGGCACACTTGTTGTTGCTGCTGATGGGTGGGATTGTGTTGGGCTGGTTGCCGTTGATTGCAAAGGGATTGGCGATTGCGGCGTTGCAGCTGGTGGGAGTATTATTGGACGTGGTCGGCGTCTCCGCCAGGGAAACGCACGTATAAATGCAAAGAAGATGAATAGTGTGGCAATCATAGCCGGTGGAGCATTTTTCGTTATCACTAGTCACTACTTGGAGAATATTATTTTTGGTTTTTTCCTGTTATTGTGTTTTCTTTATTGTTTTAGGGTATTGTTTAGGGATATCAAAGTTGTATTGCAATGTTCCTCACTTGCGTTGATTCACTTCACTGCTTAATGGTAAAAAGGTTACATAAGGCCCTCACTCGCCGATTTATTACTAGTTTGTAAAGTATATTATATTATGAATGTACTATATTGCACACTGTAGGGCAAGCCACGCGAAATTAACTCTACTGGAATTGCTTAAAACTGATCGAAGCATAAAAACCCAAAGTTGTTGTTCTGACTTAGTTTGGTTTTTCTTGCTCCATAAGAACAAGAGAAGAAATCTCACAGATAACACTGACAAAAAATTTTTACGGCAGAGCTTTTGAGAGCTGATTCGTAGAGGTAGTTTTTAGTAGATTAAGTATCTGGCTTTTAAATTATTCAATTGGCTCTAGCTTTCGAGATATCTGGGATGAAAAGTGCCAAAAACCACGTTTTGTAATTTTTGGAACTTTCATAGCAAAATAACTAAGCAATGGAATTCTAGAAATCGTCATGCTAAATTTCGGTCGCTAAACAATCTCTTTATGATTAAGGCTTGTGTCTAAAAATATACAACGCCTCCAGGGAAACCCCTTCGGCTTTCGCTTTGCATATTTTCAGGCCCATAGGCTATTCAGTTCTAGATATTTAGCGATAGACATCTAGAGAAGACTCTTCACTGAAGAGGTTTCTACCATCGCACTGCGGATATAATAAAAGCTGGAATTTATTTCTTTTTCGGATGAGTATATTGGATATTGAGCTCCTAAAAGAGAACTACATAATACAAATATTAATTGAAAAATCAGATGTTAAACATAGGCGAAAGCAGGCCAGAAAGATTTTCAACTGGGATAAGTAAACGGCTGCTCTCACTGACTATAACAAAATTATTTGACGCTCAAAAAATGATTCATCGAGGCAGCAAGGAGAGTCAAAAGAGGCGCTGCTTGAGGAGTTCTGTTTGCATGAAATTTTATGAAACGAGTCTAGCCAAGATGGAGTCTTCACGAACAACGAGGCTTTGAATAACCATGTGCTTCATGCGCATTTCAAAGGCTCTTCGGTGGAGCATGATAAGATGAGCCCCATCATCTCGGAACTCAGGTCCCGTAAAGTGAAGTGTCATAGCAAATCTGGCTGCATCCTTGACAAGGGGCGAAGTAGGGTGAGCGGTATGGTCTTTCGGGCCCTTCAAAGCAGCAGGACTAATTGGAATTTTCTTTAGCATCATTGATCCTCTGCTGCAATTATTTAACGATAGTTATTGCTGGGCATACATACATATCGTACGCTTAGAGGAATGTATTTGTATTATTTATTGATAATACGGGACATAGGTCACAAACTAAATCACAAAGACCTATTCGCCCAATTTTAGTCCTCAAAAGACTAGAGAGGGGAAAACTGAGCGCGTCCATGTGATGCAGTATCGGGAAGCCGAGTCACCAAGCCTAGCGTCAAAATATATACGCTTGCTACCACCAAGTAAGAAAATAAATTTCCGAAGAGGAGTGAGGAATTGATAAGACATTGTAAGGAGGCAAAGGGCGGAATGGGTCAATCCATGTCAAATCGGCTAATGCATTGCAGTGATTGGAATCAGCCCATATTTGATTTGGCTGAATTTTGGCCAGAACTTTTCTTTTATCATAAAACGATTTTATGCCAAAGGAACAAAATTAATGTTTTTCGAAAGATATGCAAAATTCTATATTTCATAATTTCCGGCAATTTAAAACTTTTTTTTTATTATCTCAAAAATAAATGTATGTAGTTACAAAAATGACTCTGATCTTGTTTTAAAGCTGATACTTGAGGTTATAGAGAAAGGGTATACAAAAGAATCTTAAAATAAAAAAATTACAAAAATTTGAAATTAAAAAAATAGTAAAAGCAAAAACTTTTAAAAAGTTTTGGCTCGATTTTTTTTTATACAATACCTCAGACTGAACTTAAAAAACCCGGAAATTTTCAAGAGGGTTTTTTAAAGATATGACTTTTTTGAAATTTGAAAAAAAATGTTTGCAAAATCTAAATAAAGTTATGATAGAATTATTTTATTTCAATTAAAATTTTAATGTAAATTCTGATTTTGGAAGCAATTTTTTTTCATAATTTAAAAATTCATGTCTTTAAAATACGCCTTCCTAAAAATTTCAGGATCTTTGGTTTGGTAAAAAAAGGAGCCTTTTGCTTTTACGATTTTTTAAATTTCAAAACTCAATATTTTGTTATTTTTCGATTTTTTAACATACTAGTTTTTGAGATGTTCAAAAAATAAATTCGCAAAATCCACGAAATTTTGAAATTTTGAACTTTCGGAAGCACTTTC